TCCCCTAAGGCTGCCAACTCAGATAGCAATTGGGTCCCCATCCATTCAGCTACAGGTGCACCTAAAAACCACTGAGGCCTTACTGCGCATCACCCCAGTGACAGACCCTGGAGACACAATGGTGAGAAAATCAGACTATGAAGCTTATGATTCAGTGTGGGGGAAGACATTTAAAAGAATACTCACACTCATTCTTTCAACAAACATTTATTGAGCACCTGTTAAGTGCCAGGCACCATGGCAGGCCCTGCAGGAGTACAGTGGTGAACAAAAGCAGACCATGTTCCTACCCCTCACGGAGCTTACAGTCTAACAGGACAGAGAGGGTCATCCAGTAATCCCCTAATGAAGGTCTAACTACAAACTGAGGTCAGTACCTTCAGGAAAGGGAAGAACGCCCTAGAATAAGAGGCCTAGACTATAGGGTCACCAAAGGCTTAGGATGCTTAGAAGGAAAATAAGCAAGGGAGGAGCAGGGGAGTGACAGGCCACCCAGGAACATTGGGAGAAGTGATGGATTCCATCTCAAACGAGAGGAGCTTGAGGCATTTTTGGGACATCAGCTGAGTGGAGACACCAAGTTTAGATATATGAGGCTAAAGAAAACAGCAAGGAGAAGGAGAAAGGCCAGAGAGTTAAGAGGAAAAGCAGCAGAATGGGATCCCAAGGCAAGGAAAGAAAGTATTTAAGTAGGAGTGTTCAATCACTTCAAGAAGAAAACCAAAAACCCACCTATGGGATCTGGTAGATGTGGGGGACTGAAGCAAATGGAGAGGGCAAGTGTAAGCAGCTCTTTAGAGGAGGGTCAGCAATGAAGAGGAGGGCAATTAGGTGTTGGCTTGTAGCAGCAGGGACAGATTTTTTAAGACAGTAAGACACTAGCATGTATAAAGGCAGGTAGGGAGGATCAGGTGAGGAGGGCAGTGAAAAGCTGCCAGAAGAGAAAGGGTAATTGTCAGGTTCTGGAACAACTGGCAGAAAAATGGGACCCAGAGCACAAGTGGGGGAACTGGTCTGAGGGAGAAAGAGGGCCTCCTCTTCCCCTGTAACACAAGGGAGGGAAATGAGTTCATCGGCTGGGAAGTTGCAAGTTGTGGGGAGTTTCATTCCTATGGCTTCTATTGGTTTTTTGAAACAGGAAGCACAAAGTGTGAAGGTAAAGAACATTTGCAAGGGTCACATCAGGGAGGAAACAAGAGTGGATCAGAAAAATAAAACAGAACTTCCAGGAAGAGTGGAAAATGATCCTGAATTTGTGGTGATGCACATCTGCTCCCCTATGTGACATTCTCTAACAGGACCTGCCAGCTTAGCTGATCAGCACTATGAAAAAACAGGGCCTGAGGCAGTTGGAATGGACTGGCTTCCCAAAGGAAGCACTCTTAGAACCGAAGGATCAAAACAAGGAGGCTGCAAGGGACACTGGACCAACATTCCTTGTGATGGAAACAGCAAGGGCAAAGGCCTTGAGGGAGGAGGGGAGTGAGGCACCTTGGAAAGACCATGGTGACAGGAGCTCAGAAGGCAAAGGATGGCGTGAGATGAGACTAGTAGCCATGGAAGTCAGACCAGGAGACAGGCCAGTAGGTGCTTGAAGGCAATGCTGAGGCTCTCTTGGTCTTTATTTTTAAGAGGAATGAGACACCTCCTAAGTGTGTTAAGCCGAGGCAGACCAGGAGGGCTCCTCCCCACATCAGCCCTGAGATTTTGGACTCTGGACTCTGGGAGCCCCAATTTGCTCATCCAGGAAAAAGGGATAAAAACAGTCTATCTCACAGGGAATGCTGAAAGGACCAAATGACTTTGCATGCAAACACTCAACCAAGCACCTTGCAAAGAGCAGGGTCTCTGCCAGGTCTAATTCAATAAGTCCTCTGTACCTGCCCCTCCCGCTCAGTTCCACCACAAGGCCTTTGACATCTTAGCACCAGTCTGCATCTTTCTCCCTGTTTGAACCTAGCACTGTGCCCAGCACACTGTAGGCCCTCATTAAATGCTTGTTGATGGACTATCTCTAAGCCTAAGGGTTATCAAAAGCCTGTCCAGCAACCCACGGAATGCAGCCATTTCAGTTTCTGAGCTGTATCCCAGTGTCTACCACAGACTTCTCCAGTGCCCCCACCTGATATGGTTGTGCCCAGTGTACTGGGGGTCTGCAGCCAACACTTCCTGAATGGGAAGCCCTCTAGAACCGAGCTGCCACAGGATAAAGCTATCCCCTAGGATCCTCCACCATTTCCCAGGAGGGCTGGGTCACAGGGAGCAGCTATTCTTCAACAGTGCTCCAAGGCAATGGCAGCACACAGGTTTTAAAACAATAATAGGTTGAAATGTACTCGCCAAGAAAGCCACCAACCTACAAAGAAAATCTTATCGCTGATCTTGCAATGAGCACTAGCCTCCCCTTTGCAAGAGCTGAGATCAAAAGATAAAGAAGCTATCAAAAAGCCATCTGCCCACTTAAAATAATATCACAAGTCATGTTAGGAACCACAGACCGGGGGCCAGATACCAAAACAATTGTCTGAACAGGCTGCTTCAATTTCTCCTTAAAACCACCCATGTATTTTAAAAGAAAAACACCCTCTCCACCCACCTTGGCCCTGCAAGCTTTTGAGTTCTGTTCTCTTCCCTTCACACCCTAAAATGACCAAACTCCATTTACCCAAACTGTTGCATCCTACAGACAGGGCTCCCATGACAGCCAGCTGGGATGATGACTTGGGAAAAGTAACAGAAATGAACACAATCTGGGGCAATGGGACCACTCGAAAGCTTGATCTGGGTGATGGTTACACAAGGGCACACATATGTAAAAATCCATTAGGCCTGACACTTAAGATCAGTACACTTTAAGTAGGTATACTTCAATAGAGGGAAAAATAGGTAAAAGGAGAGCATGACATGCTGGGAGCACCAGAAGTGAAATGCAGAATCCTGTCAGGCATCCCAGAGGGACAGTAGTTAGAAAACAAATGTCCCTAGCATCTCTTCCCTGGTTCTGTCACTCGCTAGCTGAGTGGATTTGAGCAAGCTGGCTCACCTCTCTGTACTACCTCAGTTTCCCCCTCTATTAAGCAGGCATAACCATAGCACCTCCACCACACAGCATGCACAGCACAACTCAGGAGAGAACCGACTTGAGCTCTCAGCAGAGATCAGTAAACACTGGCCACTAGTATCTTTCACAGCTACTACCACACTTCAGTACCATGCCCATGTTAGCTGCATCCAATTCAAGCACAAGAAGTGACTGTCATTCCCCTTTAGCAGACAAGAAAACTGAGGCTTACAGATGAAGAAACTGAAGCAAGACCACACAGCTGGTGATAGGCAGAGCAGAGCCTGGGAGGGGAATCCAAGAACTGTATGTGTGATCCCCTAAATACTAACATTAGTTAACACCAATATGGTACTACTATGAGCCAGGCTCAGTTCTGAATGCTTTTACTCATCTCCTGTGAAGTAAGTGTTGTTTCATAGATGAAGCTACTGAGGCACAGTACAGTTAAATTAGTTGGCCAAGGTCACAAGACCAATACATGACAGAGCTAGGACTTGATCCCAGGCACTATGATGTCAGAATACACACTTTTAACACTGTAAGGAAAGTCATACTGCCTTCCCCCTTTATACTATGTCTCAGGTTACTTTGGGGCTTATAGGTTATTAAGTGCGTGCTTGCCTGCTTCTTCACTGAACCAGCCACATCTGCCCACCAGCCATGAACTGGACCTTTCTGAACCATTAACAGCTTCAGGCCTTGCCAGGACCACAAACATGCTGCTGCAGCCAGAGGCTTCTGATCACACATATACAAGGTCCAAAAAGCATTTTTGCATTCACATTTGCAGTCCTCCTAGGAGCAGGGAAATGTATGCATTTCCCACATGTGCATGCAGAATCTATTTTGCCAGGCTAGACTTAGGTGATCCCAAAAAGAACCAGGACTAACTGCTACCCTTGAAGAACTCATAGCTTGAGAAAACCTAAGAGAATCTTGTACCAGGGCCTCCTGGGGTTAACTAGTTCCTTCTCCTAGGACCTGAATGGTGGCAGGTGTTACGGCAAAAACAAAGAAAAAGAACTTCAAGTTCAGGCCCATCTGGTTCTGTCTCTGCTAGCTACTGCTTCCCTGTGAGAGCATAGACTGACTGCAGACCCCTTCTGCAGGAGGCCTCAGACTAGATTAGAGCATAAAAGAGAGTGAACAGGTTTCAGGGTCAGACATGGCCGAACTGGAAAAGCCAGGTACCATCACTTCCTCAACCAGTTTCTCCCTCTGGAACCCTCGTTTCCTGCTCTATCAAACAGGGACCAGATTTTCTGCCCCCTACTGGCAAAGCCCTTGGTCCACACTACCATGTCATTTAAGGTCTTTCCACTCCAGCACACTGCCCATCATTCCCACCTCAGGACCTTTGCACTTGCTGTTTCCTCTGCCTAGAACATCCCTGCTCCTGTATGTGTGCAAAACTATTCCTCTTTATCACTCAGGCGCCACTTAAGTGGCACCTCCTTAGCAAAGTCCTCCCTGTTCCCTTCTCTACAAACTCTCCCCCCACCAGTACCTGTGCATAATGCTCATCATCCAGGACTCGCCTCCTGAAAGACCCTCCCTGAACACTCAAAAGCAGTATTCCCTCCTAAACTACCTCCTTGCTCTGTTTTACTTTCCTCTCAGCAGCTAACCTTATCCCAAAGCACCTTATCTGCTTGCTTGTTTTTTCACTGTCTCCCATAGGAGCCTGTATGATCCTTGAGGTCCGGGAAGATGTCTTATTCAGGGCTTTAGAGTGGAATTCACTAAATGAGTGAATGAAACCCCAGTAATTAAAACAGAGCCTAGCACATATTTGGCCTCCATTACTCTTTGACTGACTGAATGCACCCTCCATCCTGTCCTGGAGAGTAGGCCTAAGGGGTTCCTGGGTTGGGATGCTTGTCCTCCAACCTAGACACAGCCCTGCGTTGGCGGAGGTGGCGCTGGCAGACATTACCTGCGCCTCACCGGTTTCATGCAGCTCTTCAGCTGCCTGGCCTCAGCCTCCACGGGACCCTGGCACTCAGGCTGTGGCTCCAGCTGCTGCAGCTGCTGCTGCTGGGGCAGCCCTTCGGCATCAGTGGGTGTGGGAGCGGGTGCGATCCGTAGCAGGACTGTGTAGTTGCGGCCGTGGTTGTTGGCCCAGAAAGTGCCCTCGGGGGTCTCATAGCGCACCACGAAGTCCAAGCGCGCCCCATCGCCCGCGCCCTCAGCAAACGGCAGCTGGAAGGCAAAGCGGTCGGTGTGGCCGCAGTCGTCGGGCGAGGAGGCGGACACCTGGCCAGGCCCCAGGCCAAGGCCCTGATCCAGGATGGGATCTCCTACTCCTGGTCCTCCCGCTCCTGCCCCTGGCGGGTTGCGCGGGACGTAGCGCGCTGGGTGGTCGCAGAAGGAAGCCCAGCCGTCGTGTGAGGCCCGCACGTGCACCGCCTTCTCGAAGGAACGGTTAAGCACGCGTACCAGCCCGCGCAGCACCGGCGGGCGCCCCCCTGGCACCCACACCCCGGCACCCCCGGGGACCGCTCCAGGAGGCGGCAGCAGTGCCTCCAGCTCCACCATGACGCGCCCCAAGCGCTCCAGACGGCCCGGCGCGGTCGGCAGTGAAAATGTGGGCACCAGGTAAAACCCCCCGCCAGCGGGGACGGGGCACAACGGCGAGGGCTCGGGGCAAGCCTCCTCTTCCTCCTCCCCTTCATCCCCATCCTCTCCATCGTCGTCTTCATCAGCCCCGCCGCCGTCGCCATCTTGCCCGGCCACCGCCGCCATCTTGCCCATCCCGGGCCCGCCCCACGGCCGGTAGCGGCGCAGCTGCGCCAGCGGCAGCCCCAGGGCCTCGTCGGCGAACAGCACTCTCCGCGGGGCCACCGCTGCCTCGACAGAGGTGCTGGGCTCGCCTGTGGCCGGCGAGGGGGGCGCGGAATGCCGCAGCTGGGGCTCCACAGGGGCCGGGCGCGCCATATCGGCGGCGGCGCCGGCGCCGGCACCGACGGCACCGGTGGCGGGACCGGCGGGGGCAGGGCCCGAAGGGGTGGGCAGCCAATGGGAAGATCAGCACGGAGGAGTATGGCTCACGGGGGCCGTAGGCAACGAAATGAAGACAGTTATAGCAGAGAGCCAATGAGGAGCCGCGCACCGGTGACGTAGCGGTGAAGCAGAAGCACGTAGCAGAAGCACGCATCCAATGGGGATGCTGGAGAGTGGGCGGTATAGGAGGCGGAGCTACTGGTGGTGGCCTGAATGCGGGTGGTGAGGGGGTAGGGGTGGAAAGAGCAGTAGGACAGCTAATGGGGAAGTGTGAGCGGGAGTGGCTGCGGGCGATGGGGGCAGCAGGGAGCAAACAGAAAGGCCCAAAAAGCCAGAGATCCGTGGGTTGCGTAAGGCTGTGGGATCTGAAAGATAAAAATAACGAAGAGCCAATGGGGAGCCACGCGCCGGTTGCATAGGGGAGGGATGACGATAATGGCTGCAGAGAGCCAATGAAGAGTATTGTGAGTGTGCACTATGCCTTCAAGGGGCGGTACCAGGGCGGAACTAAGTAATACGGAGGCTAGACGGAGAGCAAACGGGAGATGGCAGCTAGCCAAATGGGGAGCCAAGCGTGAAGGCTGTTTAGACTTCAGAGGAGGTGGTCCGGGAAAGAGCAGAGTCAGTGGAGGTGTTGTAGGTGATGTGAAGGAGGGGAAGAACAGCCAATAAGGCGGCCAGAGGAGAGGACGGTGCCTAGACAGTCTGGCTGTAGGATGTTCGGGCAGTAGAACCGGAGAATGCTGGCTGCAAGTAACAACAACAACAAAAAAAAAATCACAAAATAATGGGTGCTAAAACAAGAAAGAACTTTATTTTTTCTCTTCCATCAGTTACGTCATAGTCTGTGACCTTGTCTGGCCCCAAGACTCTCATCCTTCAACAAATCCTGTGAGCTCTCCATTCAGAATATTTCCAAATCTGCACTCTCCTAACCCCCCACTGCCAGCACCATCGTCAGTTACCAGGACTATTGCAGTTGTCTCCCCTCATAGGTCCGTGCTTCCACCCTCACTCCTACAATCTGTTCTACACTCGGCAGAGTGCTCTTGTTAAATCCTAAGACAAATCATACCCTTTCTCTGCTCACAACCCTCTTATGGCTTCTCCTTCATTTAACTAGAAGTCAAGAGTCCTCATTGTGAGGTACAAGGTCCTGCATGGTCTAACCCTCCTAGTCCATACCCTGACTTCATCTCCTACACCTCTTCCTCTCGCTCAAACCACTGTAACCAAATGGACCTCCTTAGCAGACCTTGAGTAAATCAGGCACACTCCCAGTTCAGGGCCTTTGCACTGGCTGTCTCCTCTGGAATCACTCAGATATCCCCATAGCTTGTTCCCTCACCTCCTTCAAGTCTTCACCAAAGGTCCCCTTCTCTGGGGACATTTTCACTGACCTATTTAGTGATGCCCACTCTACCCCAGAAACCTTCGACACAAGAGGATATAGTCCAGTACAGAGAGGAAGTGGTGACCTCTGCCCACATGACCCCCCACCCCACCCCTCTCTCTGGGAGGTTCCTGGCTCGTAACAGCAGCAGCAGCAGCATCACCCCTTGCACATCCCAGACCCTGCTCAAGTGGCCCCCTGGAACTCTTTTGAGTCACCACCCTCCCCCCATTTTCCTCTTCTCTGGCCACTCCTCTCATGGAGCAAGTGACAGTAAGGGAGAGATGGTCTGGAGAGGGTGTAACGAAGGTGCAGCCCATACCTCTGACCCTAAAAAAGAAAACCAGCTCCCTCTCTCAGGAACGAACAGGTCCTGGGGTGGGAAACAAGGCCTTGGCCTCTAGAACTGGCCTGGCTTATAGTTACACAGGAGGTGAAAGGAATGTTAGGACCTAAGTCCATGGGGATCAAGGGATAATTAACCCTGGGGACATCCCTAAAGTAGGCTCCCCAGGACTCCTACCTGACAAGAGCGCTCCTCACCCCCTCTTGCTCTGAACCACATGCCACATCTTTTAAGTCCCTGCTGTACACAGGGTCCCTGCAGGCCTATAACCTGAAGACTTCATCCCACCTTGGTGCCCCCCCTGGCTGCCCAGCACACACAGGCCGTCTTTGGGTCTCACACATGTCCCACCGACTCAGAAGCCTCAACCAGTGAAGGTTTTGTTTTGAACTAATGGTAGGGAGGGTTGGTTTGGGTTTTTTTAATTGTTGCTGGCTGATTTTTTTTAGGTCTTTTTTTTTTCTCTATTCTCCTTTTTTTTTTTTTCTTGTCTTCACAAAGCCTGGCCATCAGGCCCCCTGTGGGCTTTTCCAGAAAGGTGAGTCTAAGTTGAGGAAAGAGGTGCTCCTTTTCTTGAGGGCTTGGGAGGTGGAAGAGGAAAAAAGGTGAACAGGTGGAGGGTTGGGTCTTGGCCACTGGGTTTATACCATGTGAATTAAAAGCTGTTGCCAATTTCTCATCCTCAGGCCTGAAGCCGGTCTTGCAGAGAGGTCGGAGTGGGCATTGGATGACAGAACTCTGGGTCATGCAGAGTGCTGGGGAGCCAGGAGTCTCAACCCTGGCCTGTCAGGAGAAGCTCCTGGACTCTGCTCTACCCTGTTGACCATTGGTTGGAGGGTGTCCCTGCCGAGGTGAAGAAATGCAGCTGCTAGCTCTTGAACAACCTTAAAACCTCACAAGCTTCAGGGCCCCAGAAGAATCTCCTAATCTCACAACGTACCCGTTGTTGCATCCTAGAATTTAAAACCTGAAACTGTTGGGCTCAAGGAAACCTGGGGGTTTCAAAGCCCTGCACCAAGGAAGGCAGGGTCCCCGCTCGCCAGCTTTGTGATTTGCAGCAAGTTGCTTGGCTACTTCATGCCTCACCGCTGTCCCCATCTGTATAACACCCATTTTGACAAGATGGACCTCAAAGGGCTGTGTGGTAAGGAGTGATTATTACCGTTTGTGAGAAGAATTCAGCACTATGTCTGGCACATGGAAAAATCCAAAATAAATGTCAGCTACAGGGATGATGGCAGATACTTGGAGTCCTGAAACCTTGGAAACTGAGAAGTTTTTTAAGTAGAAGGTCACAAAGGCCGAGGGCCTCAAAAGCATCCATCCACAGTGTCCCTGACTACAAGGGGTTGGGGTTCCAGGGGCCCTGTGGGTTCCATAAGGATGGATGCATTAATACTGGGGACCTGGCTGGGACATTCCTTGTAGGGTGGCCTCTGGGTCAGAACTCTCAGCCCTAAGACATGACAAGACAAGACTTTTCTCCATTTCCTCAGTCAGTGGATTCTGGGAGCCAGTGATTCTCAGACTCTTTGACTCTGTTAATTGTGGGGGGTGGGGAGGGACTACCTGCTTTTTTTTTCCTCCATGAAGTAACTTCCATGCCCCTTACCCTCTGCGGAAAGATGAGTTGCAAGCGTGTCCAGAGTTCCAGGTCCCCGGGCAGTAAGAGCGGTGATGATCATATCAATTCCACCTAAGGGGAAACTGAGGCCTGGAGCAGGACAAAGCCTCTGGAACCCCAGCCCTATTCCATTTCTTTCTCTGATGTTCCCTGTCCCATCTCACTCCCACAATTGTGTCTCTGCCCACCTGGGATGCCCCTGTGACTTATTAGAGTTCTTTTTCCCTGGGTTTTTTTTTCTGACTCTATACACTTTTGTTTAAAAACCTGTGGTTTCTCATGAGCCCTGTTATCTCATTGATACCTCTCACCTCTGTGGTGAGGGGAAGAAATCATATTTTCAGATGACTCGTAAAGGGCAAAGAAAAAACCCAAAATTTCAAATTTTCCGTTTAAGTCTCATAATCAAGAAGAGGAGAAACAGAGCGAGCAAGCGAGAGAGAGAGAGAAAACTATGAGAACCCCCCCCAACCCTGTGATTATCAGCACACACACTCATCAAAAAAAAATTGGATTATTAGAAGAGAGAGGTCTGTGGCTTCCACACCGTGGTTTTTCTTCTCGGTATAAAAGCAAAGTTGTTTTTGATATGTGACAGTTTCCCACAAGCCAGACTGATCCTTTTCTGTCAGTCCACTTCATCAAGGTGAGTGTCCCTGCCCTCTCCATCCAGATGCAGGTCCAATGGAGGAGATTGCAGTGAGGTAGGCACTGGGGGGTCAGGGGCCCTCCGGTAAAGTCAAGATGCACACAGCTACTGTGCTCCCAGTCAGGTAAGGTATTTTTTACAATAATAATAGTAATAATAAATGCCAGAAGACTGATAGGAAAAATATTTCATCGGTGCTTGGCAGAGGCAAAGGTAAACAAATTAATTGATATGTAGATTGATAGGATTTTTTAAATATGTTAACTGCCAGTCTTTATGAATTTCAGAGCTTTGAACAACTTGAAACACTGTCCAGGTATAACTGGACATTTCAGCTGTATCTCTTGCATCTCCTCGTCTCTTCTCTCTCCCCGTCTCCCATTCCTCTCTTCTCTTTGCTCACCCCATCTCACTCTCTTCATGTTTCTCTACCCCTCTGTTTCTGTTTCCCTGGCACTCAGACTCTCTGTCCCTCTTTCTCTGGCTCTGACCATCTTCCCTGTCTCCATCTCCTCCATGTCCACCATATTCCGACTGTCTTCTTTCCTACATCTTTCTCCCCACCACCTCTCCTGCTCTCTTGCCTCACCTTCCCCCACCTGCCTTCCCACCCAGAACCCAGGCCACAGCTTTGTACCATTGGTGCTTAATAATAGTGCGTTGAGTAACATCAATGACGACCTTTATATTTTACGAGAATGGGCATCAGTTTTGTTTACCCCAATGGAAGGAGGACTGTAAGCTGTCAGGTCAGGCTGAGCGCTTAACTGAACTCGTGCTTGTGCCACATGAGGGGAGACCCTCCTGGGAGGCACTTCCCTCCACTGTCAACCGTGGTTTAGTTGTGTGGTCCTACCCCAGAAATGTGTGTGTGTGTGTGTGTGTGTGTGTGTGATTCCAGAGTTCATGTCCAAAAACAGCAGGCCACTTGGGGCTGGGATGAGCTCATCTCTGTAGGTTTAGCAAATGCTCATTAAGTGTTAGATGTTAGGGTTTTTTTTCACCAAATTAGAATCACACTATCTATTCCTGTTCCTGCTTTATTCAACTAATAGGAACATTTTTGTAGGTCACTAAAAATTGTTTCAATATATGATCTTTCATGGCTGTCAAGACTGTTATCACATTGCCATGAACCATGATTGGTTCAGCCAAATGCCAATTATTGGACATTCAGGTTGTTTCTCATTTGTCCCCATAATCATCCCTGATTAGTTCTTTGGAGTCCTGAAAATGGAGTTGCTGACCCAAAGGGTATGTGCATTTTTAAGGTTTCTGACCGTCTCTGCAAATTGTTGTTCCAAAAGTTTGTTCCATTTTATGCTCTCTCTACTCAAGCTAACCCTGGGTGGGTATTATCATATTTTAATCCTTTCTCAACAGGTAAGAAAAAATATTACCACATTGTTGGCATTTGTATTCTTTGAATACTTATAGTGTTTATTGACCATTTGTACTTTTTGAAAAAGTTGGTCATGTCCTTAATCCTAATAGGGTGTTCATCTTTTTTTCATACTGATTTGTCACAGTTCCTTATTGAGATGTTAACCTTCTATCAGATATATATATAGCAAATGTTTTCCCCTAGTTCATCCTTTGCTTCTTCTATTTGTTTAGTATTTTGTGACGCTTATGACATTTTTATACAGTCAAATAGTTTAGTCTTTTCTTCTGTGCTTACTGTCTCTGGTTTTGTGCTTAGAAAGTCCTTTCCCACTTGAAAACAAGATAAATATTCACCTGTGTTGGCTTCTAGTTTTTTCTATGGCTTCATTTTTTCCATTTACTGTAAAGGTTATGAGTGTGGGTACTGGAGCCAGACTGTCTGGGACAAACCCAGCCTCACCCCAAGCCATCTGTGTGATTTTCTTAGCCAGGCATTTAACCTCTCTGTACCTCCATTTCCTCATATATACTGTGATTATAATAGTACCTACCTCAAAGGGCCATGGTGAAGATAAAATCTATTAACCACGTTAAGTGTTTTGTATAACACCTGGCATATGGTAAACCCCAACATTAGGTATCATTATTTATCTCTTTAATAGATCTAGTATTTATTTTGGGGCCTATGATAGTGGTAACATTCAAAGTGGACAGGAGGGGTTGGTGGGAAAATGGACTGATTATTCATTCAATAACTTATTTTTCTCTTAATTATCCCAGAAACATTTGCTAAATAATCCATTGTCACCCAGCTTGCAGTGCCACATTCATCACAGACTCAGTCCCCTCTAGACATTGGTCTGTGTCTACACTTTCTATTCTGTTCTGTTTTTCTGTGTCTGTTCTTGTACCAGGGCCACATGCTTGGCTGGATGTTGCTTTGCAATACAATATAGTACCTGGTCATAAGCCTTCAGCATCTTGCCTTCGTTGTTCCTTGTTATTTTAGGCAGCATTCGTTCCTCCAGCCAGAGACCACCAACTGTTCTTATTTGGAGCCCCTTTCTCCCACACCACCTCAGTTCTCTGTCTCTCTGTGATGTTTCTGTCTCCCTTGTCCTTTCTCTGCTGCTCATTCTGTCTCCCTCTTTGCATGCATTCCTCTGACATTCTGCTCCTGTGGGGTCCTCTCCCCCCTGCTCTTTCACTCTGTTGTTCCTTCTCTCCACATCTCTCACTCATTCCCTCTTTCTCTGTCTCTTTCCCACCTCATGTCTCTCCCATCTCTCTCTGTATCTCCTATTCTCTGTGTCTTTCTATTCCCCTATGTTTATCTGCTTCTCTCTGTTTCTGTCTCTGTCTCTATGTATCTATCTCTCAGCCAGTACCCAGATAGAGGGGCAGTTGTTGACTCGAAGCACTTCAGACCCTTAAGAACTTAACCAGACACAAAGCAAAAAGGTCCTAGCTCTCATCTCCTCCACACCTCTCCCCGTCCCCAGTGTGCAGAGGGGCAAAGTGAAGCCCAGAGATGAGTGGGAGGACTTCTTCCAAGACCTCACACAGAGGCAGTGGCAGAGTTGAGACCCAAGGTCTGATGTCAGGACTCTCAGTGGGACCCTGCTTCCATCTCTCCTCCTACCCCCCACCATGAGCCTCAGTTTTCCCCTCAATACCTTTGAGGAGAGGAGGGGGACCAGGGCTGCCTGCCAGCTGCTACCATTCCCCCTTTTTTTCACAAGTTGAACCCTCACACAGGCAAGAGGCTTCACGGTCCCAGTGTGGCACCCAGTCTCACAAAAGCTAGTCCGGGTGGGGTCCCAACACCAAAGGGTAATGATACTGGAGGGTTGTAAGTCAGTTGGTCTGGCTGTGATCAGAGCTCAGCCATGTCCCCAGAGTTGGTACTGGTTCTGGGAACCTCTATCCAAGGGCTCCTCCCAAGAGCCTAGTGGTAGGTTTTCTACTGGCCAAGGCCAGGGCTTTTCCTGCTCGCTACCATGAGGTCCTAGCCAAAGGCATGCCACCTTCTACCTCCCCCCATTTCCCTCCCATTCTCTAGTTGAGTGGCTGTGAGTTTGGGAACACTGTCCCAGAATGGACGGGGACACTGAGGCCTTGTGGATGTCCATCCTGATGACTGATGTTTTGTATCATCTTTGGAAGATGGGTACCTTTTTATACAGGAGCCTGGGGAGAGTTACAGCCAGTTAGTGGCAGAGCCTGGCCCCAGGCTGGGAGAAGAGGGGATGAGTCTGGCCCTCCTGCTTTCACAGGCCTTAGGAGGGAGGCTTGCTGCAATTCCACATCTGGTAGGTGGGAGGCCCTATGTAATAGGGAGCTTTGTGTGCTTCGGGGAGTTCCAGCGAGTTTGGACACCAGGGGCATTGGCCTTCACATACTAAGAAGTTGGACCCGTGGACCTCACAGGGTCTGTGGGTTTGAGATTCTAGGATCCTGTGAATCAAAGAAATTATATTCTATGATTCTGAGGTTCTAGTGTAGTATTGTTGGGAGACCCTAAAAATCCCAGTATCTCTGGGGTCTGCATGGTACTCCCCAAATATCAGACCTTGGGCCTCGCCATGGCCCAGGAAGGGCCAGGTCTACAGAGCCAAGGGCTTGCCATGGTGGCCAAATGGATGTCACTCACCACATCCGCCAGCACCCACGTCACCCCACCTAGGCCAGGAAGGCTGTAGGGTGGGCCAGTCAATTCTCGGAATGAAACCTGTGGGGTGGGGGATCTGCCCCCTTCTCTTCCTCCTTGGTGCTGATGAAGCCCAGCGCATCCGGCAGCCATGACGTCAATGACGGAAAAAACTGGGGAAGTTGGGGGCTGTGACAATAGGGCCCAGATACAGACCCCGATATGAAAACACAATCTGTGTCCCAGAAACATCCTTCATGCAGCTTCTGAGAAACAGTCAGAAAGGGACGCCCCAACAGACAGTGCAGGAAGCCAGCTGCCCAACCCGGCCTTCCAGGTACCCCCCTCACCAGACCATATCCATATGTCCTTTGTGAGAATTTATCTATGCTTCCCTGAGTTAGACATGTTCCTGATATGCCTGGGGAGGAGACAGCTTATAAGCTCTGGCCAAGTGTCCAGGCAGCTTCAGAAGTGACCACAGGCCAACTATGTGGGCCAGGCCAGACTGGTGGGAAACATCCACTCACTTAGCAAAATCAGTATTAGTTTACTCAGGCTGCTGTAACAAAGTTACCACAAACTGGAGGGCTTGTAGAACAGAAATGTATCATGGTTCTGGAGTCTAGAAGTCTGAGATCAAGGTGTCAGCAGGGTAGGCTCCCTCTAAGGGAGAATCTGTTTGTGCCTGTGTCCCAGCTTCTGGTGCCTTGCTGGCAGTCTTTGGCGTTCCTTGGCTTCTGCTCCATCATGCCGATCTCCACCACCATTCATTCCCTCACCTCTTCACGGTCACCTATGTTCTATCAGGCCCTCATTCCGAGCCTACGCAGACCCCAGCTGCTGATTCTTGTGTGATGCTCTAACCCTCAAGAGACTGAGGGGTTTAATACCTGGATTCTCACCCACACCTTGCTCAGCACTCCCGTGAGCTAAAAGCAAAGAAAGGAAGAACAACTGCTCCCCCAAAACCTGCCTTGTGCTGGCCTGGGCTGCTGTCAGCAGCTGTGTGCCCAACCCGGTGCTGTGAGGTGGGGTGGGGAGTGGCACACATGCACACCCACACACTGACCAATAGCAGGGGGCTATGTACACATGCACAATTTCTGGACAAAGAAGGGCATTTTCAAGTCACCATGGGACTGTAAATTGCTGCACCTGGGTGTCTCCTTCAGTAGAACAGACGTTGGATTAGGCAGTCTCTTCCAGCTCTGGCTTCCTCTCAGACTGAGATTGCAGAATTCTGAGAAACTGAAGCCCTGCCCATTGGGGAAGTGTATGATTCTGGAGCTCAGCAAATGGGCCTGGGGCCATTATGGAGGGCTTTCTGGATAGGACATGGGTAGGGGAAGAGGAGGAAGAGTGGATGCTCCAGGAAGGCCAAATAGCACTAGAAAGACTTGGAGGCAGGCTTAGGGAACAGAGATTGAGGTAAACAATGGTGAGTAGAGGCGCTCCTCCAGGTCTCGGCTAAAGAGAATCCATCTCTCCTCCTCTCTGCCACCTGCCATGTCAGCTCCATGCAGGGCAGGAACCCAGAGATGATTACAGCCAGCCCCTGCCTGAGCTCTAGACTCCTGTACTCAGCTGGCCACTCAGTATTTCCACTTGCATGTCCAAGGCCAGACTCTTCATGTCCATTCATACCTGGATCACCACCACCAACCCCGCTCCCCCACCTCCTCCATCACAGGTAATGTCAACTCTGCCCTTTCAGCTGCCCAGGCCAATACCCTCTCTCACCCCCCACATCCAGGCTGCCAGCAGATTCTCCTGATTCCACTTTCAAAACACATTCAGAACTCACTCACTTCTCACCATCTCCACTGCTGCCATCCTGGTCTGTGCCACCACTGTTGCCAACCTGGACTGTTGCAGAAGCCTCACTAGTCCCCCTGCTTTTGCCTTTCTAGAACCTGTCCCTCTCACACCCCTCCACTCCCAGACATGCTCAAGTCACTGGGGTAAAATAATACTACCAAAAAAGTCAAGAGACCAGCCCCAGTGGGACTGGCAAAAGTCGTGTGGCTTGTGCAGGGTTCAGGGAAGACCAAAGGACCAAAGCTTGGACACAAGCCTCAAGTGGTGGGGGGAAAGAGCTGAGACCTGCCCTGAGGCCCCCAAAACCACTTGGAGTCCCCCACCGTCCTTATGAGGACACATCCACACCAGGGCTGTGCCAGTGCATGCAGGCGAGATGTGTGCCAGACCCATGTATGGTGAATGTCTGCACATGGGGCATGAGCAGAAACACATATGCCTGTGTTCCCTGCACCAATGTGTGTGTGCATGCACACATGATCAGAGCTGGGGTCCAGTGTAGGCCCTTTGGGACATGCCCCAGACACTGCCTGCCGTGACCAGAGTGGGTGTCCACGTGGTTCAGGTGGTTGAGTATTTCCCACACACCCCCAGCACAAATGTAACTCCTTCCCTTCTGTGTCCCCACAGCCTGTCCTGGGACAAGAACCCAATGCCCAACCCCAGGCCAACCAAGCCCTCGGCCCCTTCCTTGGTGCTCGACCCATCCCCAGGAATCTCACCCAACTGGAGGGCTGCACCCAAAGCCTCAGACCTGCTGGGGGCCAAAGGCCTGGGAGCAACCTTCCAGGGTCGGGACCTCCGAGGTGGGGCCCATGCCTCTTCCTCCACCTCCTTGAACCCCATGCCAACATCGCAACTGCAGGTGAGGCCCAGGGCCCAGGATGGGACAGGCAGGGTGGGGCACCTGGGCCTACAGGTGCGACCTTTACTGTGGCACTGGGTGGGGGGCCCAGCTGGGGCACAGGAAGTGGTTTTCTGGGTCCCAAGCAAGTCTGTGCCTTATGCAGATGTTACAGGGCCAAGAAAGTCCCCACTTAGCAGGTCTCAGAATTCAAGGCTCTCCCTAACCTCCCAATCCCTGTCTCAGGAGAGGAGACCTTATCATGGTACCACAGGCACCACCATGTGTTGCCATCTCCTTGTGACAGAGGAAAGGGCTGGAGCCCAAGGAGGTGAGGTGACAGGGTTGACTGAGTACAGCTCTGCCACTTATTAGCTGTTTGATCTTCAATAAGTCACTCAGCCTCCCTGAGCCTCAGTTTCCACATATGTAAAATGGAGATGGTCATTGTACCTGGCATGTGGGATTGTATGAATTAGACATGAAGAGCAGTGAGGATAAGGATGGCATCTCACCCACCTGCCTTCTCCCCCCAGCTGCCCACAGTGCCCCTAGTCATGGTGGCACCCTCCGGGGCACGGCTGGGCTCCTCGCCCCACTTGCAGGCACTCCTCCAGGACAGGCCACACTTCATGCACCAGGTACCGACCCCAAATGGGCAGGGAGAAGGGAATAGGTTGGAGCACTGGGGAGGGGCCTTTCTGAACCATGGCTGATATGTGCCCCCAGCTCTCAACAGTGGATGCCCATGCCCGGACTCCCATGCTGCAGGTGCGCCCATTGGACAGCCCAGCTATGATCAGCCTCCCGCCACCCGCCACTGCCACTGGAGTCTTCTCCCTCAAGGCTCAGCCTGGCCTGCCACCTGGTAATACCACACACCACAGCTCTACAGAACCCCAGAGCCCACAAATCCTTGAATGCGAGCAGCATAGGCTGCTCAATCGCAGCCCTCAGGAGGTTGACAAGTCAGGTCTTATCATCTTGGAAACTCCAACCTCCAAAAAATGTCAGATTTAGAACCTTAAAGATACAGAATGTCAAAATCACAGAACCACAGAGCTTTGCAAAGTTAGTCAAAATATCAGCACTTGAGAATGACAGTCTTTGAGCTGTTCCACCAGAAGCCTTGGACAGTAGGGACACCAGAGTCCCCTGGGAGTCAGGGCCTGCAGGGCTCAAAGGGAGGCTCAAAATGACAGGCTTGTCCCACCCTCAGGGATCAATGTGGCCAGCCTGGAGTGGGTATCCAGGGAGCCAGCACTGCTCTGCACCTTTCCGAGCCCCAGCGCACCCAGGAAAGACAGGTCAGTGGGCAGGGCTGGGAAGGACCCTTGCCCTGGCATCCCCTCCCCTGACACTCTGTGTCCCCCTAGCACCTTTTCGACTGTGCCCCAGAGCTCCTATTCACTGCTGGCAAATGGTGTCTGCAAGTGGCCTGGATGTGAGAAGGTCTTTGAGGAGCCAGAGGACTTCCTCAAGTGAGTGATGCAGACTCATTTCAGTCCTGGGGAGGATTTGTGGGAGGAGGTCTGGGGTACAAGTCTCAACTCAGGCCTCATCCCAATAGGTAAGATGAAAGGCAAAAGCTAGGACTGTGGGTTCAAACCCTGGCTCTTTCACTCACTGGCTATGTGACTTTGAGCAAGTTACTTAGTTTCTCTGGGCCTCAGATCCCTCATCTGTATAATGGGGCATCATAATAGGGGCATGTACTATTAAACTCCATTTTACAGATAAAGAAACTAAGGCTAAAGAAGTTAAGTGTCTTAATCAAGATCACCCAGTTGCTAAGGGACAGAGCTAGGATTTGAACCTAGGAAGCCAGGCTCCAAAATCCACACTCTTAACTGCTTTGCCCTGCTACCCCTCATGTCAACACAGCAGTCCCAGCTTCTCACAATGGCTATTGCCACCTCCCCTCAGCCCCGTCTCTCTCTCTCTCTCTCTCTCTCTCTCTCTCTCTCTCTCTCTCTCTCTCTCTCTCTCTCTCTCTCTCACACACACATACACACACACTTTCTCCAACTATAACCAACTATCAGCAGCAACTCAATGAGTGCATCCTGTCCTCTTCCTGACCAGGCCTTTACACAGGCTGCTCCCTCCACCTGGAAGGCCTTTCCTGCTCTCATCTACCTGGTACACTTTCAGCTCACCACCCTTCCAACACCATCTCCAACACCGTGGCTGGGCTTGAGTGGCAAGCTCAGGCCTGGTACACAGTGGATGCCAAATAGCATGTGTTGAGGGAATAACAGGGAAACTGAGATAGAGGGGAGGGAGGCTGAGGCTCTGAGCCCTTCCCACTCAGAACAGTAAGCCAGGTGGCGAGGCCTGCCACAGTCACCTACATGGAATCTTCCCCCTTCCTAGGCACTGCCAGGTGGACCATCTGCTGGATGAGAAGGGCAGAGCGCAATGTCTCCTCCAGAGGGAGGTAGTGCAGTCTCTAGAGCAGCAGGTGATGCAGTGGGGTGGGCAGTGGTTGCGGGATGGTGGGCAAACCTTATGTCCACCCTGTGCCAGGAGCTAGTCTCACTCAGGATGGGGGATGGCATAAAGGAAGGAAGGAAGGAGGCAGGGCATCCCAGGCAAGACCATAAACTGGGCAAAGCTGTGATGAAAACAAACCAGGTTAAAGCTTCACTTTGTGCCCACACTCACAGCTGCTGCTAGAGAAGGAGAAGCTGAGCGCTATGCAGGCCCACCTGGCTGGGAAGATGGCCCTGACTACGGCTCCATCCACGGTGAGCCACCAAGGCCCATGGATAGCACAGAGCTGCTGGGGAGGCAGGCAGGGCAGGGGTCCTGCAGGATGCAGGGTACCTATCCTTGCACCCAAGCCCTGGAATATCGGGGCCCCTGTCCCCAGCTCCAAATATGCCCCAACCTGGGAACCTGTCTCTTCCTGTTACAACCCTCTGACCCTAATATCCCAAAACATTGTCATCTTCAGTTTTCAAAGCAACAGCAAATAACCGAACACATACTGAACACAGACTGTGCACTGCTGGCAAGACTGGCTATAACTCTCAGGGCCCAGTGCAAAATGAAAATGCAGGGCTCAAATTTTAAGATGAAGACCTCAGAGCATTAAACAAAGGGTGGGGCCCTGTGGGACTGCACGCCCATGCAGCCAGCCCTGGGTACCAGGCTCTGTTTCTGAGCACTCTGCTAGTATTATTTAATCCTCATTATGCCACTGTAAGATGTTTATTACCATCATCCCCAGTTCACAGATGAGAAAAACTGAGGCCAGGGAAGCTTAGGTGACTTTCCCAAGAGGAGCCAAATTCAACCCCAGCTCATGGCCCCAGCATTGATGCACTGCACACACATGTACCACACACATGTCCACACCAGCATTCTAGAAAATACAGCTCGTGTTGCTTCATGGGATTCCACAGCAGACAGGAATGGAGAAGAGGGTACCCTTGCTTTTAAAAATACTTATTTAAAATTAAAGTGGAAAGTCTGTAATTAGCACTCACAATATAGGTAGTCACAGGGAAGGCAGTACAGCACAGAGAAGATAAGTAATGACTCGAAAGCATCTTACTATGCTTATGTACAGTGGGGGGGATGAGGACTTGATAATATAGGTGACTGTTGAAACCACAATGTCGTTCATGTAAAACCTTTGTAAGATTGTATATCAATGATACTTTAATTTAAAAAAAGAAGAAAGTTAAAGTGGAAAGTTTAAGCCTCTGAGACACCACACTGCCTTCTGCCCCAGGCATCATCTGACAAGGGCTCCTGCTACACTGGATCAGCAGGCACCCCAAGCACAGCCCCCATACCAGGCTGGCCCAGCCCCCAGGCCTCTGATAGCCTGTTTGCTGTGCGGAGGCACCTCTGGGGCAGCCATGGAAACAGCACATTCCCAGGTAAGAATGGTCCCTGCTCTACATGGCACCCCCAAACCCCTAATCCCCCAACTGGCCCAGGGGAGAGGGGGACAGAAAGGAGCTCCCTACTGCTATTCCCCACCAACAACACCCAGCCCTTGGAAAATGCATCTGCTTGCAGAAGCTTCCTCTCAGAACTTCCACAGCCTGCCACCCCCATTATTGTTTCTAACATCTGGTCCTGCCTTCCCTGGGGATGGGGCTCACTCCCTCTGGGCTTCAGCTACTCCATTTGGCCATCAGAAGGGAAACTAGCTAATTAATTTCCAGGAACTCTATCCCCACCCCAAGGAAAAGTGGGGTGATTTGCCCAAGCTCACCAATCCACCACTACCCACAAGGCCTGGGCTGTGGGCTTAACAAGGATTAGAGGTGTCATCCTGGTTTTGCCATGTAACCAACTACACCCCTTTGGTATGCAAGTTACTTCACTTCTTTTAAACCTCATGGAGAATAAGCCCCATTTCGGTGGGAGTAGTGCAAAGAGTAAATGGTAGAATTTATGTAAATTCTCAGTGCGGTAACTGTGACGGTATAAACCTACATTAGCCCTGAGAGCACTGGCAGGTGGGAGAGGGAGCAAGGAGCTCCCAGATGGGGTCTGATTCTTCCCCCACCCCCAGAGTTCTTCCACAACATGGACTACTTCAAGTTCCACAACATGCGGCCCCCTTTCACCTATGCCACCCTCATCCGCTGGGTAAGCAGAGCAGCTCAGGCCAAGGTGAAGGAAGAGAAAGGGGGTGGGACCTACCTCCCAAACTCCTGGCCTCCCTCTCAGCAACCTCAGGGCAGGCTCCTGCATGAACAAACCCATTCCTCATACTGACTTCACCCCAGACCTGCCCCGAACCCAAACCTAAACCACCAGGCTGGCCAGTGCAAGCAAAATTCTGGCCCCAAACCTACCCACTTCCTGACGTCCACCTCAATCCCTCCTGGTCCTGTAAAACAGCCCAAAAACTAACCTGATCTCTGCCCCTTGCCCTAACCTCACCCCAGGTATTACCCTACGTCCTTTCCCAGCCCACAAGTACCCCAGAATGTCAACACATCCTCTGGTGGGACCCAGTTCCTGACCCCTCCCTTCCTTTAACACCTATCTGAACTTTTCCTGCCAGCCTAACACCTTCATCTGAGTCCCCCTAATGCCTTCCCAGAACCTCCACCAGAGCTGGCCCAGTCTTCCTCCTCAGTCCACACCTAACCCCTATGTGATGTCACGTATTCCCCTACATGGCCCCATCCTGACCTGGAACCTCAAATGCAGCCTTCACCACTGATGCTTAACTTAATCCCATTCCTAAATCCAAACAAATTCCCTGACCCCTCGCCTCGCTCTGCACCCAAATTTAGCCCATAACCTTACATGACTACACACAACTAGCCTCAGCTCCACCACAGCTAACCTCGTTCTTGACCCTGACACTAACCACATTCCTGACACACCAAATAACTAGAGAGCTGAGAGTGACCTCATGCCACCCCATCCCTCACCCCTCAACCTGCTCAAGTTCACCCCCAGCCCAACCCTTAACCAACCCCTTCCCTGACCTTTAAACTCTGCCTGGCCCTTTACCCCTTCCAAATCCTTAAGATGACCCCACTCCTGGCCCATAACCTTCCCAAACCCTGAAACCTGTACATAGAAGCCCAGCTCCAGTTCCATCCCAGACCCTCAAGCTAACCACAGCCCCACCCTGAACCAGACCCACTGTCATCGTGGCCCTGATCCACTACCTAAACCCTGCCTAGCCAACCCCACCCCACTTCTAACCCTGTCTCTGATCCATCACCCCACGCTGTTTCCCTCCTTCCCTTCCCCTGCCCTCACAGTTCCTCCCATGTCACACAGCCCGGGGTGGGCCATGGCCCTCTCAGCCTGACTGTGGGGGAGTGGCTCCCCTCACCCCCACATCCCCACACTCTCTATCCTCCAGGCCATCCTGGAGGCTCCTGAGAAGCAGCGGACACTCAATGAGATCTACCACTGGTTCACACGCATGTTTGCCTTCTTCAGAAACCATCCTGCCACCTGGAAGGTGAGCTCCTCTGGAAGTGGCAATGGCTTGGAGGGCCCCAAATGCCACCAGAGTGTTGGGCTAAGCTCAGAAGTGGGCAGACCTGAGGCTGGGCTGTAGGCATGTTGAGAAGGGGCAAGCGGTTAGGTTTTGGTGGGGCCTCTGACCTCAGAAGATGACCGCCAAGCCACTCCCCTGCCCCTGGCCTGACTGGCTGGTCCCTCTTTCACAGAACGCCATCCGCCACAACCTGAGCCTGCACAAGTGCTTCGTGCGAGTGGAGAGTGAGAAGGGGGCTGTGTGGACCGTGGACGAGTTCGAGTTCCGCAAGAAGAGAAGCCAGAGGCCCAGCAGGTGTTCCAACCCCACACCAGGCTCCTGACCACAAAATCAAGAAAGATGGACAGGGGCCAAAATGGGGGGCAGAAGCAGCTGGGGATAGGGGTAACAGGCCTGGTCGTGCCCACAGGGACCAAGAAGTGAAGTGTGCATGGTCTTGCCTGCCCTGCAGCTGACTACCGTCCTGCTCCAAGGCTGCTCAGTGGGCCCCAGCCCTTTACCCCAACCCCAGCCGCCTATAACAGGCTCTCCAGCCAGACTGAGCCTTCACCACTAACCACACCCACAGTCTGCCTCAGTCCCTCTCACAGGCAACCTCGGGGCTGGAAAAGACAGACAGCGACAGCTCTGTCCCTTGGACTCAAGACAAACCCCCAAAACACAAAAAGCCTGCCCCAGTACACTCAGATGACCTCAAATCTGCAGTCACACAATCACACCCAAGCACAGTCCTGTCATCCCATGGAGGCAAAAGCACACACCCATAGTCAGCGTCCAGCTACACTGTCACACAAGGCTGTGCCCAGACACCCGACAGAAACAACCTGGATACCTTCAGGATCTCAGGTCCTACAAAGCCAAAGAGACACATGCCAGTCACACATGGTCTCACACAGCTCCCAACATGGACGCTCAGTCATGCAGCCCATTAGAATTCACCTGCAAATCTCACATGCATACACTGCCCCAGTGGGTCTCCCAAGTCCCACACGGCCACGCACAGCCACACAGGCTGGCCACATGCACCCCATGTCTCACTTGCCACCCACCCCCTGCCCCAGCCCTGAGCCCTGTGCCCCTATCCATGCCTAAGCTTAGACTGCAGACAGAACCCCTCATTTATTTGGGATCCTTTCCCAATAAATTGAAGCCAAGCTCCCACACTTTGGGTGAGCACCCCAGGTAAGGGTTGGGGTCAGGTGGGCAAGGGTCTGGGGCAAAGGCTACAGTAGGAGGAACTCGATACCCCCAGTCACTGCCTATGGAGGTGGGGAGACCTCTCCTGGGGGCTTCTCAGGCATCACGGACCCACCCCAGGAGGCCAGCATTCTCCTGACGAAGTGCTCGGTAGTCCTCACAGATCTTCTCCAGGTTGCTAAGAGTCTTCTTGCCCATCTCTGTCTCGATCTAAAGCAGTGTGAATTGCACCCCTTCAGTGTGGGGGGCCCCTTCCCAGCTCCTGCTCACCACTCTCCCTCTGTTACGGCCACTCAGCCCCCCTCCTGTGCTCCTCCCACCCCCACCAATGATAGCCTGCTCTGTCCCATCTGAGGCCTTTGCATGCATCACGTGTCCACCGAGAGCATCCTTTGCTATGTGGCATAATGACCCACCACATACTCTAGCTGAAGCCTCTGCCAAAAACAGCCCTGGGAGGCAGGTGTGAGGACCCTCAGGGCATTAGCTGGGGCTCAGAATAGGCCACACACACGATGACTAAGGAGCAGGGCTGGGACTCCAGCCATAGGCTGTCTGGTCCCACAGCCTCTCTGGGTATACATTGACAAGCTGTCCTCTGGCCTGCCTGGGCTCCCCTCCCACCCCCAGGCCTCACCTGCTCCTCAAGGTCTCGAACCTCCCGCATGATTGTTCCTGTGTCCTCAATGGTCTGGATGAGCTGGCTGCAGTTCTGGGGACAGCAAAAGCAGAAAGCTTGCACCCCAACCCTGCCCCTCCCCAGCCAGCCCCAGACAAGCTTCTCCCCTCACCTCATGCAAGGCAGCTAGATACTTGTACGCCTTCCGAACAGCATCATCCTTCTTGGCATCCTGAACAGAGAGGAGGGGCCTCAAAAGGTATCAGTGGGCTGGCACCACCACCCCACACATACCACCTCCAGACCTCACAAGGCCACCCTCTCCCACTGACTTCATCCTCCACAGAGCAAAGCCAAGCCTGAGCAGCACTGTCCCCACAAGGCTCACACAGGGCCCGGGCCCATGCCAGCCCGAGCAGATGGGCAGGCAGCAGTCCAGCCCCACCTTGCCCCTCCACCTGGCCCAGCCCGCCCCATACCTTGAACACAAGCTCATCAGTCACCGCAAACGTCCGGTCTAGCTTTCCAGACAGAGCATTGATTTCCTTCTGTAACTCCTTCATGTCAGACAAGATCTGGCAGAGACCACCATAGCCATAAGCCCGTGTCTGGGGTGGCCGGCCAGCTGAGGGCATTTACATACATGCACTCACATCCAGACAGGGCCTCTATCACTGTGTTGGGCCTGGAGTGGACTGTGCAACAAGATAGCTCTGCCTTTCAGAGGGTGGGAAGTCCCCACGAGGCCATGCTATACACATCTGCCCCTCGAGCATGTCTGCCCATATGGCCCACCCTTCACAGCCATGATGGCTCACCTTGGTGATATCTTCCTTCTGCTTCTGGATATTGCCTACAATCTCCAGGATGCGCTGGGTATAGGCCAGCCGGGACACATCTCTGGGCAAGGTCTCCAGCTCTGACACCTAGGCAGGGACACAGCAGGCACTCCCCTATAGAAACCACACCCCACTCACTCGAAGCTGACCAGGGTCCCAGCATGGAACTTACCAGCTTCTTATAGACCTCTTCCTTCCTGCGGGCCTCTTCTGCAGCTGCCCGAACACTCTGGTGCAGCTCCTGGATCTCTGCCAACCGCCGGGAAGATTCCAGCTGCCAAGGCCCCATGGGTAGAAGACAGTGAGCAAAGCATGGGGATGGTCCCCCACGGAGGGACCAGATCTGCCCCACCCATGGCCCAGGACCATACAACCTACCTCTCTGGAATCCTGGAGCTTTCGGAGGCGGCGGTACTCAGCCAGGAGTGGGACCCGGTGCTTTTCCCACTGGGCCGCCAAGTAAATGACCCTCTGGGCACTACTTTCTACCAGAAGCTGGGTGTGGCAATAAGGGGTACATGTCACATGAGATGGGCCCTTCCAACTTACAAACCTCCCAGCTCAGCCCCAGTGGCAGCCCCACCTGCAGCTTGGTGAGGTTGGCAGCCCCATTGGGCAGCAGCTCCACGGCCTGGCTCTTCAGGAGCAGGGTCTGCTTGCGCTGTGCAGTGCTGAGCTCACTCTGCCGACACTCCATCTCCACCTGGCATCCCGTGACCCCCACTCCCAGTCAGTGGGGGAGCCCAGCCACATGCCACAGCTCCCCAGCCCCCACTGAGCCTGCAAAGCTCTGGCCGAGCCCGAGCCCCCATAGATAACAACACATCCCTCTAGCTCCTATCTAACCCTCAACCCCCTCTGGATAGCAACCTAGACCTAGAAGCAGTGACAGGCACCCACAGGCCCCTCTTGACACCCTGACCCCCAGGAGCCCTGATGATCCACATGCCCCTGGCCATAAAGCCCCATCATGCCCACAGAGATGCCATCAAGATACTCACCCCCTCCGGATTTTCAGGCTCACAAGCCCAACTGATGCCCATGGATAGATATCTCTAACCGTACAGGTCTGACCTGCTGACACTACATCCCCTTCTTAACCCCACCAATTCTGAACCCTCAAGAACTCCACAGGTCCCCAATATCCCCCACGAACCCTTCTGACATCTGCAAATACTTACAGAGTACCTCTCAGACCCCTCAAGTCCCTCTAAGCCTTCTGGACCCAACTTGTTACCCCAGCCCTTTCCCCACCTCACCCCCTACCTGTGTGAAGTTGATTCCCAGAATCTTCATGTTGGCTTCAACCTTTTCAATGTTGCAGTTCACTACCTGCAGCTGCTCCTGAAGAGAATCCAGCTCCTGCTCTTGAGCTGCCCATGTGTCCTGGGAGGCACAGGCCAGTCACAGTGGGGGTGTCAAGCCCAATAGACAGGCAAGGACACAGGCCACCCTCCACTGCTCTGCTCACCTGTTCAGGCCACTGGGAGGTGGCTGGCACATCAGATGCCTGCACTGCCTGGGCCTCAGGTTCCTAGGGGAGTGGAAGGGGACCCTCCGGCTATTGCAGAAGTCCAGCCTCAACACACCCACAAAGTGTCCTCCCAGCACTGTAACCATGCCAACTTGGCACAGTGTGAACATGTAAGCATCAAGTCACCCTTTGTGACCTTAGGCTACAGTGTTTGCTCATAAAGAAAACTCCCTGACCCTGACTCAGCTCCTACCCATAAGCCCATGAGGATGAGGGCCCCACTGGGTAACTATCCAAGGAGAGAAGATATGTCCATAGAAAACTGCCTGGGGAAAGCTGGGGTTTACACAGAGCACCCCAACACTCTTCATGTTTCCCACCCCTCTACCCTTTCTCCACTGAAGTCCCCGAGAAGCCAAGAGACCCCTGGGGGTACCCCACCCTGTGGGGAGAGGGCATGCCCAGTAGGAACACAGGATTCTGTGTGGATAAAGTGTGGTGTTTGAACATAAAGATATCCTCCGAGCCTGTCTAACTCCCTTAAGCACACCTTATGTCCACTTAGGCCCACCCACCAGATGGAAGGTGAACTTCTCTGAATGTGTGAAGCGGGAGCCCTTGGAAGTGCCAGTCTTGGCCCCAGCATCCCAGCCCTGCAACAGCTCTCCCAGGTCTCGGGCTAGTGGGGGGGCCCCCAGTCGGCCCCAGGTCTGGCGCAGTTGCTCAGCCAGGTGCTTCTGCAGCCGCTGTCGCTGAGTCCGTGTATCTCCCTAGAGAGAGAGGGTGGGGCAAACCAGATAGTCTGCAGCCTGCAGGGCATCCAAAGCCCTGGCTCCTCTAAGGAGCCACATGGCAATGTGCTCCCAATAAGTCACACACACCCTTCTGGCCTCCCAAGGGGGCCAGATCCATTCTACTGACCCACCAGTTTGGGAGCTCCCCCAGAATAGGGTACCCTCTTCCTCATAGCTACGTTGCTCTCCACTCAGCACTGCCCACACTGGAGGAGGCTTTGAAAAGCGAGAGAAGTAAGCCTGCAGCCCCTAAATCAGAAAATGACATTGAAAGGCTATGTGGGAACAGAGTCAGAGGTGCTGGATAAAGAACAGGGTGGAAGCAGAGACTAGCACTGAGAAAGAGACAAAAACAGATACACCTTTGAGATAGCTGAGGAAATATGATTATGAATTCAA